TATCGAATCAGAACCGGGGATCCTACACCCTGAGCGCCAAGTTGCCTGCATTCACCCAAGCCTGCCAGCGTGCGTAGCCTTCCGAGCTTCCACCGCACGTGTGGGTCACCGGCGCCACAGAATGGTCCACGTCCATGTCTTTCATCAGGGCCTGTCTGTGCTTCTGTGTCGATGCTATACCCTGAACCTTAACCCACCAAAACCTATACTTTTTTGTAGGGTCCCTATAAATACCATAAGAAGGTTTATAATAAGAATCTGCAAAAAAGTAAGTAGGGTTTGGTGGGTTAAGGAAGGCGATGTCCAATCCTTAAAACGTGTTAGGAAGTGTCGGGACGTGACTGGTCCTTCTGTTGTCTGCATGCAGTGAGAGCTGCAGGATGCTCGGGAACCAGAAGTTGTGCCCGGCCTTGAGCACAAGTCATGCTTAATCTTGAGTTTCAGCTTATAGGACCTACAAAATGTATAGTAAAACATACTGCTACTTCTTTGAGGTTTTAGTTGTTTTAGTTTATAGAACCCATATATGGGTCCTACAAATTGTATATTGTATAATAACATGTGGCCATACAGTGCTACTTTGAAGCCCAAACCTTGGGTACTGTCCCCATACAGTAACAGGCTAAAATAGGGCTACTATTAAGGTCCTAATATATCCCTATTTTGAAGATTAGCGAACTGTTACTGAAAGGGTGCAGTACCCAACCCAAACCCTCAACCCCAAACCTCCCCAGAGACTCCAATATCCCTTGATTAAGGAATATACCTTAAATTATGATAGGATCCCTTATATGATTTAAGGTATATTCCTTAATTAAGGGGTATTGGAGTCTCTGGGTCCCTGGCTGCCTCCAGGTGCTGCGACTGCAAGTCGAGGGTTCTCGGAAGCGCCCAATCCAAAGGCGCGTTTGCTTCACCTGCCGCGGGTTAGGGTTTAGGGGTCTACGGCTTTTTGAATTTTAGGGTTTGGGGTATTGGGGTGTAGGGGTTCAGGGTTTAGGGGTTTAGGGGTTTTAATGGTTTTAGGGGTTTTAGGGGTTTACGGCTTTTTTGGATTTTAGTTAGGGTTTGGGGTATTGCGGTTTAGGGGCTTAGGGCTACGAGCTACGACTTCGGAGGTTTGACGGTGCAGGGCCCAAACGGCTTCCAGGGCTTGGTGGCAAAAAACGAAACTTAAACGCGAGCAGCAACAACAAGAATATGGGAACCACTGGCGATCGTAGGACATGGATACACAAAACATCACCTGCAACAACAAACTTTGCAAACAGGACGATGCCAATGCAAGTACCAGTAGCGACAAAGAGCAAGTTACCTCCGAGATGTGCACATATTTCTTAATGCAGTTATATAGTTATATAGTTATATATATATATATATATACGTGTATATATTTTTATATGTAGGCGTATATGGACATAAACAAAAATATACATAGTTTTTGTCACTCGTGCTCGACAAGTCAGACGAGGGTTGAGAAAGACTCGACATCACTTCGCGCACCACTCACATTGGAGCAGCATGACTACATTAACGTACAGCTTACAGCATTCCCGAATGCACGTCCACGTCCACAAACGACCACGAAAGCTCACTTCCGACTCCAGCACATCGCACTTTCCGTCGATCCCGAAGCCACGCACACTCACTGAGTGCGGAAAAAGAAGGCCAGTCCAAAAGAGTGAGAGGTATCTCACCAGCAAAAATAAAAGATGCATCTCTCCATCCATCCCGGTTACATCCGCGGGTTACAGTCAGCTCTGCCAGGTCTGCTAGCAAAAAGAGAGCAACATAGCTTGGCGCCAGCAACATCCCAAGAGCCATATGTGCCACTTGCATGCAGCAAACCATCGCAGTGTGGAGCCAAGTCTCAGCCAGAAGAGGATCCGCCAGCGAAAAAAGAGCAACACAGCTTGGTTCGAGCAGCATCCTAAGAGCCAAATGTGCCGCTTGCATGCAGCGGGGCATCGCAGTGTGGAGCCAAGTCATGGCCAGAAGAGCGCATCTCCTCCAGATCAGCATGCAGGAAGCATCTTCCCTCGCTCTTGAGGCTCCAGGTCACATCTCCAAGATCCGCCGTCAGCTCAAAAGCAGGCGTCACTAGGAAGTGAACAGCCCAAGAGATATCGCAGCCAAAAGCTCGTAAAGGTGTACAGCCAGCCGCCTCCCATGCCTCCCATCAGCAAGAGGCCCTCGCTGGTTTTCGACCGAGCCTCAAAGGCCGCCCAGTCCATTGCAGGATACATCACACGAAAGGTGCCCAAGTTTCAAACAACTGCAGCGAAATCATGCAACTCGCCTCCAGTACCTGTCAGTGCAAGTCCTTGTGCCGCTTGTTCGAAGCGGAAGAGCAGCTCTTCTGTTCCAGCATGAATCCAGCATGAATCCAGCAAGGAAGCCATGGCGTTCCGGAGGGGCGAGCCCAGGTCATGTCCATGGTTGAGATATGCCCGATTCCTCTCTCAGCAAGGCTCTTAGTATTGGGGGATAGACCCAATGCAGGCCCACCGCCCATTTTCGCCTGATGCCTCAGTATTGGGGGATACACCCCATGCACAGCCTTTCCCGAGTCCGGGGGATATACCCCGTGCAAGGTTCAAGGGAGAAGGAGGAGGGAGAGCTAAAAACACCACCCATGCACCATCACCAGAAGAGGCAGCATCATCCACCCATACAGGCACATCAGGAAGAGGAAAGCAGAACAAACGCACCACCACGAGGGGCAAACTCAGAATCAATACATGAATCCATCAGTAAGCCAAACGAGCGTCACCCAAACATCTTGACATCATCACGACAAGCAAGTCGGCGGCTTTCGTTTTGCTTTCATTCTGTAACGACTCCTGACTGACATCCCTGTGGTAAAGCCTCGACAAGCGTCAGGCCCGCTGCCTGAAGAAGTGTCGAGAACTCAACTGGCCCGCCACATAGCCTATTTCGGGCTATGAAGTCGGGAGAGGTCGAGGGGGAGCTGAGGCCCCAAAAACAGTGCACTATGGTACAAGAGCAAGGAAAGTCAGGGCAGTGCAGGCAAAAGGCAAGGCAAGGGAGGCAGTGCAGAGGAGGAAAAACAGTGCAAGGCAAAGCGAAGGTCAGCGCAAAAGCAAAGGCAGTGCAAGGAAGTAGCAAAAAGGCAGTACAGAAAAGCGCGGCAAGGGAAGGCATCGTCTCAGGGAGCCCAGTAAGATATTGCCAAATAAGACAGCAAAAGTGTAAAATAACGAGAACCTAGAAAAGTTGCAGGGGCTCCCAAAGCGAAGCTGTTGCTATGATTCGAGCCACTCCGTGGCCTGTAGTATACGCAGCAGGGGTCCTCACTGTTGCTGAACTGCTGCAGCGGGGACCGGAAAGATCTGCCCATTCCAGACCAAGTTCACCATCTCACCGGCCTGCGGGTTGTTCATAGTCCCCGGTGTCGACACGGGGATCTGCTGAGGCATCGGCTGTCCCCCACAGGGCATAGGAGCAGAAAGCGGTACTCCTCCAGTGCCCATCTGTCCTGGTCCGGCAGTCTGTAGAAGTTGCACCTGAGGGGCCAGTCGCATGGTAGGCGCCGGGACCGAAGTCTGGCGTGTTGAGGTGCTTGCCCCACCTTCTGATTGGGACGGCGCACTGTCGCCCAATAGAGTCGTGCTGCATGCTTGATGACGGCATCCTGCCGCTTCCTGTCGTGCTCATTTGCCAGCATTACGTTGCGGATCGCATTCTCATCTTCGGGCTCTACACGCAACGCTTCGACATCGAGGCTGGCTAGGGTCTCTTGGAGTTCTTGCAGTGCTCGTAGCTCTATATTAGACCCTGTATGCCATCTGAATAGCTTCGCGCCCTTCGGGTTGGTCGAAAGCGGCTGCAATTCATCCGCACACTCTTGACGCAGATTGGTGGCTTCAGCTGCCTGTGCGGCAGCAGCCTCATGAATGCGTTCTAGGTGGCGAAGTGGTGCAGCAGCAAGTGCAGGGCACAACCGATGGCGAACATTGTAGAAAATGTGATTCCCGGCCAGCGACGTGGAATCGACATGTTCGACCACAGAAGCCAGAGAATCTGCAGGAGGCCGAAAATGGTACGAACGAATCGTCATCTGGCGAGTAGCAGGTCCTCGACCTCCTCGACCCTCTTGCTGCCGAAGTCGCTCTGGTGATGCTCGCACAAGCACAAGCTGCTCTGCTTCTGAGCTATCATCAATCACGGCCTCTTTAGAGCAGTTCGAGTGGATCGTGATCGAGATCTCGCCTGCGTTCGTACCCTGTTCTGCAACTGCCGTGGCTCCGATGCACCTGGTCATCGTCATGCCCATAGTTTGCAATCGAAGTTCAGGGTCGATCACGCCAGACAACTCGAAATGCGGGAGCGCACGTTTCCGTTCAACTGGCGAGTTCTTCTTCCCCTTTCCTTTGCCCTTCACTGGTATGAGAGGATTTGTGGCACCAAGGTAATCTCTGATTTCCGCCAGATCCCGAGGAGAGGGCGCGAAGTAGATGAGCCCATGCCCATCTTGAAGCTCAGGCTCCATACGCGCAATCAGCTTTGCCATGGCCAGTGCACTGTATTCTTCCTCAAGGTTGACTTTCGTGCGTGCAACTGGCGTAGCTGATGCTCCTGGTGCTAGCCAATCTTGTGGCACAGAGGTGATAACAGGCCCAGCGCCGACCTCTCTCATCCACTCAGCATCCGGAGTGCCAGTGATCAACAACGTTGGCTGCTTGCGGCGGCGACATTCTGCCAGAAATGCATTCAAATCCAGACAAGAGTTGGATGCAATGTTATGCACTTCATCGATCACCGGCAGAACTCGCTTGCCCTGCTTCGCCCAGGCAGCCTGCGCAGGCCCCAGCACCGGTCCAAATGAACCCGACACAGTGTATACCACAGTTGCATCTTTGGCATGCGTGCCTTTTGATGCCGGGCCGAACACCGTCGGTTCAGGATTGTCTCCTTCACGCTGAGGCTGATGATATGCGTGCTGCTTCCCTATGGCCAGCGACTCTTCCTTGAAGTATTGTGCCATCCAGCTTGCCGTGGACTCAACTTGTTCTCGGTTTGGCACAACCACCGGCAGAAATGCACCCAAGGAGAGAGCAAGATGCCCCAACACAGTGCTGGTCTTCCCCGATCCAGTTTCCAATGCAAGAACAGGAAACAAGTGTTCATCAAGAATAGAGGGATCGAAGACAACATTGCGCTGCCAGATGGGCTCTTCTGTTGGGGCCTCAGGGTCTGAACCTGAACTAATGTTCTCCGCTGAGCCTCCTGTGCAGATGGCCAATGGGCACTTCTGTGCAGCAATGACGGAGAGACACCACTCGTGCCTTTGCCTAGTCTCAGCATCGCCATCAGCTTCCAATGCCGTGTTCATCAAGACACGTTGCATGGTTTCATCGACTGCCGCACTGATGAACTCAGATGTGAACCATGTAGATGACTCCTTAGCATCGTATTCTGCGACCATGGTGTTCTTCGAAGGTGGTAACAGATGCTGTTGAAGCCACCGGGCTGGACGAGAATTCAAATGGTCCGGCAACACAGTCTGAAGCTCAAATACGGTCTTGCAGATATGACGGAAAAGCAACTCAAGAAGTTGATCCCGCTCACGCAATAGACCACACAGACGAGGCTTCTGGTCTCGCTCAGTGAAGACGGCCATCACGGCGTGCACTGAGTGGAGTTCCCACTCTTGGCAATCTCCACCCTTGCAAACAGCCCGGTGATCAAGTGCCTCTTTGCTGAGAACCAATGCGGCCTCAAGCGACTGTGGATCAACCGCCCAGCTTTCTCTGTGGCCAGCTGTCGCATCATGGTCTGAGCTTGGGCCCGTGCGCCTTCAGAGCTTGCATTGTCCAAGCAAGCATGCTTATGCTCGTGCCGGCCAATGTCAGCTTCACACCGAAGCCATGCCACCAGGGTGGGATTGCGCACACCAGCTGGAGTATGTATCTGTCCCAACCCAAAGTCCGCTCCTTCGCCCAACGGCTGATTGTCCACCGTGTAAGTGGCACCATCAGGAGCAAGGATCTTATCCGGTGGCATCGGCTCTCGAGGCTGAGTCCAAGCCTTGATGGCATTGTCTTCGGCAGTCTGTCGCAGGACACGACGTTCTTCTTCAGTAGTTGCCTTGACAATCATTCGCTTGGTCAGCTCACGCTGGTGACGCACGACTGCACGGTATTGCGGAAGAATGGACTCTGCTTCCAAGATCTTGGCCGCGTCTGCTTGCTCAATTCGACGATCCAATCGTTCGAAGAGCTGCTCACGCAAAGTCCTAAGGTCTACGCCTTTCCGCAACACTTGTGGCCGAATGTAGACAGCCAAGTCATGCGCTCGCTGCAATGTTGCAACAGCGTTCGTGATCAGGCCGTCCCATGTTCGGTAGAGTGGTGCATAAGAGCCAGGGAGAGGGTTCTCAACCTGACCAGCACACAACCTCTGCGCCCGACCACGGTCAGAGCGGAACAGGCCGAACAGCCGCTCGAGCGAAATGACCACTCGGAGCTGACCTCTCTCCACACACGCTGGAAACGAACCCTCAGATGCTGGGCCGACCAGAGACATGTGAAGTGCTAGTGCCGCACCGTCATCCAGCAATTTCTGCTGAGCACGGGTGCCTCGGGGAGCTCTCTTTCCGAAAGCACGGTGGTACCAATCACCCAAGGTCTCTGCATTGTCCCTAAGAAAACCAGGGTCAGAGATGGCAATAGAAATGTCTGTCATGTTTGTGGGCCGCAGTTGACGGCGAGGACAAAATCCTCGAAGTCAGTCAAAGCCACATGCTGCTCCCTGCATTTCGCCGGAGCAGAACGGACTTTTCTTGAGCCGTAGCCATTTAAAAATATACATAGTTACATACAGACACTACCTACCTACCTACCTACCTACCCATCTTTAAAACACATCCATCCATACCTATATCTATGAACTTGTGCGTATGTATGCATGCATGCATGCCTGGCTGGCCGCCTGCCTGCGTGCCCGTGTATGTGTGTCTCTGTGCATGCGTATGTGTATGTGTGCGTGTACGTGTGCATGTCTGTATGCATGCATGTATGCAACTGTGTAATTAGTCATGTACCCGTGCCTTTATGCATGCATACATGTATGCTTGTATGAACATCTATGTGCAGCTATACATATGCAGACACGAACACGCACATGTCTGTGTCTGTACATGCGTATTTATACGTATGAATGCACAAACATGCATAGGGGAGTTTCCAAAAATATGGGACCCTGATATAGCACCCTACTGTAAATAGTGGGATCCTTTTTGTCAGCACCCCAAAATAAGGTACCCCATTTTCAAAAACTCCCCTGTGCAAAAGAGGCGGCACCTTCTGGCTGCACCTCCTGCCAGAGCCTCGGCGCGAGCTGCTGGTGGAGTGCCTCGGTGGCACGCCTGGAGTTCGTCGGTGCTTAGGGCCTTAGGGTGTAGTTTCCGTACGGCTTGCGGTTTAGCACTTTGGTTAAGGCCACCGTTCTGAGGTTTAGGGGTCGGGATTTTAGGTTGTAGATTCTGAGGGTATCCACATACTGGTCGACGTGTGATGCCCTCAGCTACAGGCAGTTTTCCACATACCAAGAGCACTCTTCGAGGCTTAGCAGCCGCAAGGGCATTGGACAAGGTTGCTTCTGACACCTTCTGCCCTTTGCCGCTACGCACTCTCTCAGAGACCCTATCTACGTTTTGGGGGGTTTCAGGAAGGGCGGCTCCCTCGACATTCATTCCCAAAGCAGTCACATAGTCTATGCTTCAGTGTCCCTCTCCTGTCCTTCAACACAAAGGGTTCACTCCTCTCCCGGAACACTAAACCCTGAAACTCAAACTCAAACGCCAAGCCTTTCGAACGATCCTTCGCATCGACACTTTGATGTGTGGCATTTGGCAGTGTCGCCAACAATGCCCTGCATAATTCAATTAGGCTTTAATTAGGGATCCCTTCAACACGGTTCCTACTTTTGGTCTATTTCGGGATCCATAGAGTAAGCCAGGCGAACCGTAGCTTCCGGGGCGCTCAAAAGCATAGGCGCGGTGGCACGCGGCCTGTGGAACCAGCGCGCAAGGCACGACAGAGGCACAGTCCTCAAAGAACCAGGTGTGAACTGCTGGGATCAGGGTTCAGGGTTCATAATCTTCACATACCGACGATGTTTATCTTAGTTACCTGTGTTTGCACATCGAACCTTGTACTGCCACTATCTGCACTCCTACTCATGATAATTGTGGAATGAGTGTTCATAGATCGCTGCATAAACATATGTCGAGAAGATGAGCACGCCTCACAGCTGCTTTCCAGTGGCTTAGGGGTTGGGTTCCGGTGTTAGTTACCATGTTCCGTTCCTGAATCAGGGTTGCATTAAGAATTAGCCTTCCGTCGACGATCGTGGAGTTCTCCATCCTTTGTCGCTGGGTTTGGGTTTGCGGTACTACGGCAACTTGAGTCAAGCGACTCAACCGAGAACACTGACGGGCCAGACGCTCAGCAACCGAGGATAATCACAGGATCAGGGGACTTAGTACGAGCGCTGGCAACCTAGAAACTTGGTTTACAGTGAAGTAGATATGACAAGTTTTACCTTACCACTATGGGCTATTAGACCCTAAAGATCCCTATTAGGACCCTATTTATTAAGGGTAGATTTAAGGTACCCATAAGGTCTAATAGCGCATAGTGGTACCTACTCTTTTAAAACCTGGTTGTAAAGTCCCCTGGTCGCGCATCCTACCGCAGTGCCGAGCCCGATCATGGCTGGAGGCAAACAACCGACAATGATCGCACGCATGGAACTCAAATCCCGCCCTGGAAAGATACACAACCTGACAGGCACAATACACGTAACTATACACATATATGGATATACATACATATATATATATATATATACACATATTACATACATAAATGTACCGATGTATGTATATAGAGAGAGAGAGAGAGGAGAGAGAGAGAGAGAGAGAGAGAGAGAGAGAGAGAGAGAGAGAGAGAGAGAGAGAGAGAGAGAGAGAGAGAGAGAGAGAGAGAGAGAGAGAGAGAGAGAGAGAGAGAGAGAGAGAGAGAGAGAGAGAGAGAGAGAGAGAGAGCGAGAGAGAGAGAGAGAGAGAGAGAGAGAGAGAGAGAGAGAGAGGGAATAGATAGATAGAGATAGGGGTTCTTGACTTGGGCATCGTTCAGGGTAGACGGGTCTTAGTTTGGGTTTACAGTCTGGGGGTCTAGGGTCAAAATGCGCAGAGTGTTGTGACTTCTTTAGGCTTGGGTGGGGCTTCGGGCTCCCCAGAGACTTCAAATATCCCTTAGTTCAGGAGTATACCTTAAATCATATCAGGGACCCTACTATAATTTAAGGTATATTCCTGAAGTAAGGGATAGTGGAGTCTCTGGGCCCTGCATTTAGGGTTCTATGGCCTTGGGTGGGGCTTTGGGTATGTGCGAGTTGTTTACAAATTGCGTGTCTTAGGAAGTTTGGAAGAAAGGCAAGTCAGAGACTCCAATATGGGAGTTTCCAAAAATGGGGATACAAAATTTGGCGTCCTTATGATAAGGATCCTACTATTTGGGGTACTATATTAGGGTCCCCTATTTTCGGAAACTCCCATATCTGTTCAAGAACTTCCTTGCGGGATGTGATCTCTGGATAATGTTTCACGAGAACTCTGAGGCGTCGTCCACGAGCCACAAAGGGCCCCCCATGCTTCGCAACTCCTCGCAAGCTTAATTTCATGGATTTTTGGGTGTAGGGCTCAGGGTTTCGACTGTGGGGGTTTGGCCCTGAACCCTTAGTTGCCTTAGTTGTATAAGCTTGGGCTTGAAAACTCAAACGCAAAATCTGGTGGCTTTTGGTCAAGGGTTCAACGAGTGAAAAACAGCAAGAGGAAACCTAGCAATGCTTACTCGTGGTGTAGGAAGCGGTGTAGACGAGCACTCGGTTGCGGTGTTTGCAGTTCACCTTTGTCAGCAAGGACTGAGGTGCCGGCCAGCGCCCACGAAACTCGCAGCCCCGTTTTAAGGCAAGAGTTCCGACCTAAAGACCAAACCTATCTTGTGTGGGGTGGATTGGAGACGCATCTTGGCGATCGCCAGGCTTGGGGTTTAGGGTTTAGGGTTTAGGGTTTAGGCTACCCTAAACCCTAAACTCTGTCTGGAAAGACTCGTAGCGGGGAGCACAGCCGAGAGCAACGGAGACCGGATTCCTCGATGCCACGTAGCCACGGAACGCAGAAGGGCTCCTGCGTCGTATGGACGGATTTAACATTCAAGATGGTTCTATGTAAGTGCTCCGGGTTAGGGGGCTTCCGCTTGCAGGTTTGTTTAAGTGTCAAGATGCAGTTTGCAGGGTAGTTAAGGAATTTTGTTTTGGTGTAGAGCCTCAACCGTTAAGGCAGCAGAGTCAGAGACTTGGACCTGGATTCAGGCGCGTGGTGAGGGCTGAAGGCTCTAGGGTTTAGGTTTATAGAGTGCCTGAAACAGGAGCGACTGGCGGTAACTCTGATTAAACCATGCGCAGTTGGGGGGAGGGATTTGGCGAGGAGATCCTCAATCAGGGGACAAGCCCGGGCTTCACAAGCGCTTTACACACCTTAGCTAGATGAACTAATTTCCTTTCAACGGAGCTGAGAAATTGATACTGATGAGAGCACAACCCTACACCCTAAACGCCAAACCACCAAATCCTAAACCGTTCGAAGACAGGTCCTCGGCAACGACGAGCTGTGCCTTCGGCATCAGCATCCTGTGCACACCTTGGCTGCCTAAGGGCAGCCTCAAAATTAGAGAAGAGTTTCGGCGCATACTGTACTACAGATATGTAAGGCAATGTAAGGGGCTATAAGGGGATACTGAAATCCTCCGACCCGCACATGCAAGCAGCTCATACGTCCTAGTTTCTCCTCCCAAGATAAGCCGCACAAAAAGTTAAGACCTAAACACCTCAAACTCATCAAAACCCCCATGAGCCTCGATTCTCCAACTCTGAGCCCCACCTTTTGCCAGGCCTCCTGAAGTGTTCCCGGTGTACAGTGCTGGAAGCCTAAACCCCCAAGCCCGATACACCCCAGCTCCGGCGACGACTTAGCCGAAACAGTACTACGCAGTTTTAAGGTTTGGGATGTTAATACAGGGTATGACGTTCCACTCCGGAGCCGAAGCCTCGCAAACCTAATAAAAGATGGCAGAACCCAACCACCAACAGACCCTGAACCAATTGGACCCCAAAAGCACGGAGACCGAAGACCCCAGCGGTCTGCGCCTTAAGAACTGGTGGTTCAGGTTTTGGTGATTCAGGTTTAGATCTAAAGCTTAGGGTTTGCAGCACTTAGAGTTTTAGGGCTTCGTGTTTTCCCCTGTGTTCCTGCTGCGATCTCCTCCATCCCTACATCCCAGAAATTCGAATATCCCTTCATTAAGGAATATTCCTCAAATCATATTAGGGGTCCTACTATAATTTAAGGCATATTCCCTAATCAAGGGATATTGGAGTCTCTGGGATGCCAAGATCGTGCCCACCGCCATATCCCCAGACTGAAGCCCGAAATGGGTGAAGGAAGGCCAAAGATTTCCTCATGGCCCATACCAGTAGGGTAGGGTAGGGTAGGGTAGGGTAGGGTATGGATGAGAGTAGCACTGGAATATTCGTGAAATTCGTTTCAGTGACCTAAATCGCGAAAGGAAGATTCCTTAACTACGTATCGGATAAATCGCATACTGCACCGCAAGTCTCTTTTCGGACAGCTTCTAAAGCCCGATACTACCCACTAAGGCGCTTATATAACCATTGAGCCATACAATACCGGACCAAAAAACACATCCAATTAGTGAGGCCTCTATACTGTAACCAGATAAAATCCCTTATTGAAGCTTCTAAACCCAACAAAGCCATTCTTCGAACTACTATTCATGGCTGCAGACTCATGTTGGACAAGCTCCCTTTCTTCAAAGGCCCCAATAACATATATATATATATATATACACATGTATATACACAAACATATCATCCCTACAACAAGCAGAACCCCCACTATAGGACCCAGGCCCCAAACCGCAAACCCCCAAAACAAAAACCCAAAAGCCTTGAACCCTAAACCATTAGGGTTTGGGGTTTAGGGCTCCAGCCCTCAACCCTTCGAATCTCTCCAAGAGGCCACGGCTAGAGTTTCGGTCGACCTGGGCGGAGATCTCTGGGGGATTAGGTTCATATAACACAGTTCAGTTCTCTACTTGGAGGCTCATGTGACTTAGTAACTATAGTTATAAGTCCCTTAATTGGGGCTATAAGTTATTATAAGTATAGTTCCCCCCAAAAATGACCCTAGTCACCATGTTCCATGATCCTTTAAGTAAGCTTTTTGAAAATCCCAAGAACGGTCTCGAAAGTCGGATGCTCCAAGTGAGGCGGCACGAGTCCCGTCACATCAGCCCTCCCTCGCCTCTGTTGCCCCGCCCTTAAGGGGGGTGGTGGTCAAAAATGGAAAAGGGGGGTTGCCAAGCAACTTAGGCCACAGAAAGAAAAGGTAAAACTTTCCGATTCCTGCTATAAAACTATCGGAGCCCAACAAGTTTTAAGGTTAGGTATTGGGGATCTAAGTCTAAGGCAAACAAAGGCCACAAGTGCAATCAACTCACGGAGGCCAAGCCAGTAAGAGGGGCGAGGTGTCGAATACTTGGGTGGTTGTCAAAATTAGGGTCCCTTTTTGGGTCCTTAATTCCATGCGGCACCTGGTATTTAGAGCGCCCACATGTTGGGTGGGTTCCGGGTTGTAGACCCCATCTAGCAGTACAGTTTCCCTGGTTGCCGGCTCTGAGCGCAAGCATATAAGCCTCCGGCATGTACAACAACGTGGGACAGTCCTCGTTGTAGCAGCTCTTCCTCGGAGAGGGCCACCAACCACAGTGCATCCAGCTTTGGTCACTCAGGGCTCAGGTGAGATATAGTATGCCAGTATACTGGGGAGAAGGGATTGAGGAACAATGGCTTTGTGGTTGCGACTTCAACGAACCTCTTAGGCTGACCGTCTCCACACTCCTTATAAGGAGACAAGATCTTTTTCTTGAAACCAGAAACCCTCCCGAATGCTCCCATCACGGACTCTCCCAAACTGGCTCCTGCGCAGAGCGCGCTCCTTGCAGCAGAAACAGCTGCCGGCGTGCGGTGGCGTGCGGATACTGATCCTGGCAGCATCCTGCTAATACAGGGCCCTTAATAATCAGAATGATTAGGGTTCGGGGTATATTATACTATTGTCATAACAAGGCACCCCCAAAAGAGTATAGGTATTTATATACGGCCCCTATGTTATATACGATTTTCATGACAAGGAACCGCCAAAAGAGTATAGCTAATTATTACGGCCCCTATGTTATGGTGCCTCAGACTCCCAGGCTCTGAGACTTCGGGATGGAAGCATCTTCTGCTGAAATCTGTTTGAACCTGTACTGAACGTAAACTGTAAGCCCTAGCTGGGGGGTTCACAAGCCCAAAAAACTCATGGTTTTGTTTATGGGAGGATCTAAAGAGACGTAGATCAACTCAACACATCAAAATCTCAATGCGCACTGAACTGTGACGCTGTGTTCACTCCAAACCTCCACCTCCATCTGAAGCCGACCTCTTACGCAAACAGTTCTAAGCCCTGTACACTCCATCAACATCCAAGACCCTCAAGCCTGATATTACAGGGGGCCGTCAGAACTCAAACAGGGCTTTGGGGCAGACTATGCTAGTTTTATCTTCGTGTAGGGCGAGATTGTTACTCAGACCTCTATATATTACCCGGGCTCTCCTCGACGTGGAGGAAGACTACCAATCCGACTTTCAGCGCAGCTGATGCCTCGTGAACGCATCGAGTTTTTGCGTTCATGTGATGAAGGCAAGGGCTAACTAAGTGTGAGATGCAAACTATCTATATACAATTTCGGATGTCGGTTCCGGCTTTAGCACTTCGAGGGTTGAGGCTCGGAGTCTAATTTGAGAGCTATGGTCCCCCAATTTGGGTACCTACCCTAAATAATAGGTGCCGTATGATACTACTGACCCAAAAGGGGACCCTAATTTTGAAAACCACCCATGAGGATGTAGAGATGTTCGGGAAAGCTTTGTGTTCCAAGGCTCATGCCTGCTGCGAATCCAGACCTGCAGGCAGAGCCCTGTGATGTGCTAGTATCGTAAAGCTAGCGCGACACTAAGCCCTAAACCCTAAACCCCTAATCCCTACACACCTAAACCCTAAAGTCTATACCCCTAAATCCTAACTTTCGGGATCCTTTACCATGCGGACCCAACTTTTTATGATCTGTATCTTGCAGCGCTGTCTCTGACATGCGGTATCCGGCCTGTATTAGCCTGGAGTAGTTGTTCAAGTGGGTGGTTGTCAAAATGATGGTCCCTTTTTGGTTCTGTATGATAAACGGCACCTAATATTTAGGGTACCCAAAAAGGGACCCTAATTTTTGAGAAGCACCCAAATCTTTCTTTGACATGATGTCCCTTACTTCTGTTGCCCCGGGTTCAGGGTTTACGTGTCACGGGCTCCTCAAACCTATATACACCCTCAACCTTGGAAACTAGTGGCCCTGAACCCGAGTGATCAGATCATCCCAAAAAGGCCGAGTTATAGTATGGTATACTACTACTACTACTGCTGCTACTACTACTACTACTGCTGCTGCTGCTGCTACTACTGCTACTACTACTACTTCTTCTACTACTGCTACTGCTACTGCTACTGCTACTGCTACTGCTACTGCTACTGCTACTGCTACTGCTACTCCTACTACTACTACTACTACTACTACTACTACTACTACTACTAAGAAGAAGAAGAAGTACCTACTATAATGGTACTTGGACCCTTCGGGCATGCGGAGTTGCATGGATGGCCACGTCCAGCGCAGGGTTCTCGTGGCCGCGGAGGCAACTCCGCATCCAGTAGACGATCGGCCCAGTGCCTCATTACGGCTGATGATATAAATCCCGCATTACCCATAAGAAGGAATGTACCGCAATTCCCAGAGTCTAGGTTCATTAGCGCGACGGTGAAATCGGATTTTCGGGGCTGTATCGGGATTTAGGGTTTGAGGTTCTGGTTTCGTGCTTTAGGGTTTGGTATAGACACTGGCAGTGACATTGGTGTTGAGGCTTTGTGGAGTCGAGTGTTGCTTGTCCAGTTTCGTTGGGGAACTACAGGTTAACATTCAGCACTTTGTGAGGATGACACCAGAGGTTAAAGGTCATCCCATCTATTCTTAAGCTGCCATTACTCGGACACGGAACTGCCACTAAAAACTCCATCAGCAAATCGATTGCAACGGCGATGATTCTTGAAATTTGAGCCGGTTTCTCAGTATTCGGATGGCTATTGTTCCTGGTTGTTCTCGCAACCATTGTGTTTGTCTTGCTTACCTCACAAGTGGCACATTGGGCGATTTGGGGTTTCAAGTTTACCGGACATTCGGACTTTTGACTATATATCTCAATCCTCAACAAAACTCTCAGGAATTCAAGCTCAGGGTCTACGGCTGCAGAATTTGTCAGTTGAGCTGTTGGGGAAGTTAGGATTTAGGGCTCAGGTAGGGCGACTGTCGGCTCAAGATTTTATCCGGGTTCTAACTCCGCAACACTTAAACTTCAAGCCCCAATCGCGCAGGCCTTAGGGCTCTGAACCCAAGGAGCTGTGGTTGCAGAACCCTACCATTTAGGGCAATATATTAAGGTCCTTACAATAAGGATCCTCCTGTCTGAAGTACTTTATTAAGGTCCCCTATGGCTCAAAGAATCTGAGGGTTGCTGGGCGTGATGATTTAGAGTTGCGGCTTAGGCTTGTAATCTTGTCGGTCTCTCCAAACTTCAAACCCTAAGCCCGAACCTCTGTGGGGGTTAAATTTCCGGATCTTGCCCCTCCGTCGCAGTCGCCTTTCGTGTTGCCTTCCAATCCTAAACCGAAAATTGATATCTTGGAACCTGCTGCAATCCATGAACACCTGAAGCCCTAACACCCTAAAGCCCGAAATCCTCGAAGCTTCAAACACTAGACCCTTAATCTTGAAACTTCTAAACCTTAGAAGCGCCAAACGCTGCACACTTAATCCTTAAATCCAGAATACCTTATTTCCTACACCCAGAGACCTTCTGCTTGAATCCTCCAGTCCTACAACGCCCGCCCCCCCATCGGAAAGGAGGAAGGGGCACGCCAAGGCTGTTACTTCTGGGCAGGGGGGTACCATTGGGTGGGACGTGCCAGACCTGGCAACATCGTACGCTATATGACCCCAATAACGCAAGCAAAACACGTAAACATACTAGCTCTCGACCTTACACCCCAAAACCCTAAGATCCCAATGAGCCCCACTAAATCAGAAACCCTAAACTCAATAAACCCCTTATGAGAAAGACCCCAATAGACCCTTTATAAGACCCCAATATAAGCCCCTTGTAAGACCCCCAATATCAAGCCCTGATAAGACCCCAATACACCCTGCAAAATCAGAACCCTAAATTAAACCCTAAACTACAAGCCCCGGATAAAACCCCAGTATAAGCCCCTGGTAAGACCCCATTATAAACCGCTTATGCGAACCCAATAAACCCTGCAAATCCTGTCGTCTTTTCCTTCCCTGATTTCCTCCTGGCGGCCGGAGACATCGGAGCGGCCCACGCTACGCAGCCGCTCCTACGAGAGCGCTGCTGTGAAGATTGTATAGTTCTGGGGTTTAGGGTTTAGGTTAGACCCTAAACCCTAAACCCTCAACCCTAAACCCTAATAGAGTTTAGGTATATATAAAATATCGTTCTGGGGATTAAGGTTTACGGGGTTAGGTTTAGGTATATAGTTCTGGGGCTGCTACAATCTGAAGCGTGACTAGATGGCTTTGAAGGGGGGGTTTCTGGGATCGGGGTGAGGATTTATGTTCTAGGTCAGGGTTTAGGGTTCTAGGTCAGGGTCATAGTGGTCGACGCTCACATGGGTTTGCAGAGTCGCAAAGCATCCTAATACTCACGACTGAGCCGCCAATGCAGGGATGACGATAGCGGTCGCGATCACAATGTTGGCAAGGGCCCAGAGACTCCAATATCCCTTAATTAAGGAATATTCCTTAAATCATATTAGGGATCCTACTATACTTTAAGGTATATTCCTTAATTAAGGGGTATTGGAGCCTCTGGGGGCCACTGGGGTCTGAAGTGTTCCTCGTCAGCTTCTGACCCAAGAGATCAAGAGCGCAGCCAAGCCCCTAAAGTTGAAGCACCTGACACTGGGACTCACCCCAGACCTTCCGAACAGAACCCCCAACCAAGTGCCCTCATTTTTTTTGCCACTGGTCTTGGGGCTAGCCAGAACCTTGCATCGCGGTGCCCTCAACCTAAACCCCAAACCTCCCCACCCCTGATTCAAATGCGGTAACGGCCTGGAGATGTCTGGGCAAAGCACGGCGGAGCTCGTCCAATCGAAGGGGCATGGCCTGGTGTTACAATTTTGAAATCAGGTTTTAAAGTAGCTTATGGCATAATATGGCCACTATAGAAAGAATCCTATAGAACCGTGTCTGAGTTCAGGAAGGTCAACTGCAAGATACTCCCCATAGACGAGGGTCTCAGGCTCTACCGCAGGGCCTAGTCGTGAATCGTGGGCCTTGTATTTAGGGCTTAAGGGTTTTGAGGTCCTTGTTTAAGCTCCTTTTCTCCGACGTTTAAGGGGGTCTCCGAAGAGGCTTCAGGGTTTTAAGGTTTAGGGTTTAGGCTTCGCCTTAAATGCCATGATTCTAGGAACCCAGAGACTCCAATATCCCCTAATCATATTAGGGATCCTACTATACTTTAAGGAATATTCCTTAATTAAGGGGTATTGGAGTCTCTGGGAAGGGAGCCCCTGCAACTAAGGTTTTTGCTTGCAACTTGAAGCTCCTTTCTGAGCCGAGCCTGGCGTTTCGAGGTCTCGGCTTTTAGCCACTGTCAAAGTGGCGGCTCTGGGTGTGTTCCAAAAGGCTTAGGGTTTGAGGGTTTAGGGCTTGGGGATTAGGGTTTTATAAGGCTTAGGGTATAGTGTTTTTCGCTCCTAACGGCTTAGGGTTTGGACTCCAGAAGGTTTATTGTGCCGAAGGAGGCTGTCGGCCAGTGCAGTGCCTAAAACCAGAAAGTCTACGGTTTTGCGGTACAGGGTCCGGGGTTCAAAGTCATCGAGCAGAAGGACGGCTGAAAACTATACGCCCTTTCGTATCTATGTAAGGCTTTGTAGAGTCTGAAACTTTGCATGACACGACTCGCCCAAGGGACCCTTCCGCAAGGTAAGTCCACACGCGACACAACTCGGTAAATATCAACAGAAGATCCGCATACCTGCCCGTAACCCCCGCGCCCTAGCCTGGGATTTAGGATTCAGGGTGTGGGGTTTAGGATTTAGGGCCTTGGTGGCTTCAAGATTCAGACATGCGCTTGAGCTCCATAGAGCTGCTGGGCTAATATGAATGCCTGAGTCATCAGTGCCATTATAACACTCTTAATGGTGTCCCCTGATAGTGCCCATGCAGTTCTAATACAGTGTAGTACAACAAAACCTCTGAAGAGAAAGGGCACTAGATTACACTGTTAAGTCTACTGCAGTGGAGCCTGCTGCTTGTCTCAGCTCGCGACCATGCATTCAATGTGCTGACTCAAAAAGCAAACGGATTGAAGGACCTTTAGAGCAACCCACTCTATATCACTGAAACATATTATGGCGACGATTGACAGTGGTAACCATGTTCGCGGTGCAGGATGTAGGGGCTGACTAGCGTCTACAGTTGGAAGGTTTCTGGGACTATGGGCACAGGTTCAAAGTTCAGTGCGTGCGTCCTAAGCTCTTCTGGTAGAGTTCTTTGGGTTTAGGATGTCGGATGTCGACTAGAGCTTTTGGGTCATGTCTGCTTTCCAAAACAGGTGCGAAAAGCTGGCCGAGCCAAAATGGTTCAAAGAAGTTCGTCAAGTTCAGAGATGTCTGCTAGTAGCCCGTCCAACCGCGGGCAAGCACTGCCTTGCTCCACCTCCTCTTGACCACCGGATCCCGGCATAGTTTCTGCCAGAAAGGGAAAGCTCTAATGATAAGAGCCACAGCAGCAGCAGCAGCAGTGATGGTGGAGGTGCGTACTTGCGACAGCAGGCGGTATGCAGTACATACGAGCACATACATACATATGTATCTGCATATGTGTGTATATGTATGATTACGTATGCATATATGCATACGAACTGCAGCAGAAACAAAGACAGCACATGCCATTTCTGGACTGACGTTACGAAGTATCTACTCAAAGTAAGTGCTCCTTGTTTTGAGCATGTGCACGCATTTGGGTAGTTGTCAAAATTATGGCCCTTTCTTGGGTACCCTAAATAGTAGGTGCCATACTAAAATAAGGACCCCAAAAGGGACCCTCATTTTGACAACCACCCATCTTCAGCCCTGTGGTTGAACAGCGCACCGGTTGTGTTGAAATTTGCGCATCATGACGGGCTTTGGGCTTAGCGTTGAGGGTTTTAGGTTTTAGGGGTTTAGGGTTTAGTGGCACTTTTCGACCCTCACACGGGGTTCAGGGCTGAGGGTTCGGTGAGTTTTCTGCCACGGGCCTAACTGGACTCAATGGCGCAATGCTTGCAAGAAAGACGGGACCCTCAGAAACACGTTGAGATTAAGTTCGCAGTAATCAGGGTATGAAAAGTATCGCCTGGATACCCGACATACAGAGGGCAGACGCCATAGATATATGCTGTCGGGTCCCGGGCCGCCACCCCCCCCCCAATCCCACCCTCTGCTGCCCTGCTGCTGCACGCCCACCCCGGCCCGCCCCCGCACCTTGCCGCCCCTTGACCTTGTGCGCGGATCGGGAGTGTCGCACTATGCCCTGCCGTGTGCGGAAAGCGGCAATCGGCACAGTAGTTTCCAGCATCTGACATGAAGTGCAATGCTGAATTATGAGGCTTGTATGGCGATGGTGATGGTGGAACATTCTTTTGAAGGTATCAGTGATGAAGATGACGACGACAAGGATGATGTTGAGCATGGTCTGATTGTCGACTCATGTCCCGGTCTAGAGCAGCACAACATCATGAGCAGTATCACCTGTGCCACAGTAAGAACGTCGCGGCAAAAAGAGTACCACCACAGGCCCCACACCACAGGGGGGGCGGGGGGGAAGGGGGGAGGATACATGTGGTGAGGGGGGGAGGGCCTGCATCATATATGCAGACATCCGACTCATGTCCTTCTCTAAGCCATGGATACAGAAAGTGCAGCTGCAACGCTCTCCATCTTTTCTTTGCCCTGTCTGGAGCTGCATTGTCAGGCCAAGTACCCCAGTCTCCGCTGGAAGGCCCGGTACCTCAGCTCAAAATTGGGTTTATCAGAATTGGGTTTACTTGAGGGGCCTCAAAAGTAGAACAGGGTTCTGAGGGCGATGATAATACCATTATAACGGCAAGGGAGCCCCCCAAGGAATAGTATTGAATTGGCAGTGCTTGAGGCTTCTCTACTATGTCACCCTATTTTTGCTACTGGACTCAAGTATAGCCAGCCTACGCCCGGCAATCATCATGTGACCCTAAACCCTCTCTCTTTCCCAGGCATTCGAAACGTCAAGCCCGGCTGTAGGACACAAATGGTCCCCCTAAACCCCAAAACCCCCTAAGCCCGAAGCCTAACATCCGCCGAATCAACTCTGGATCTTCCATCCGCGAGTGGATCAACAACACAAAGCCGAGGGCTTAAACACTGCAAAAGCCCCAGGCCGTAGAGGATTGAGGGTTAGAGGGTGTCGGGTTCATGGTTCAAGGTTCAGGGTTGAGAGTCTGGGGTATTCTAAGGCCCAAAAACCTTAAACCCAAATCCACCAACTCTACCAAAGCCGAAGAAAACTCCAAATCCCAAACGCCAAGGCTCAAAACCACTGAACCCTAAACTCCGAAAAGCCGGCGGGGAGCCGTGCCAGCAGATGGATGGGCATGGCAAACACGGCCTTCCGCGCCTCGTCCATGCATGCTGCATCCTTGGCTTACATGCGGGCTTTTTGCATCCAGGACTCTTGCAATCAGCCGGGAAAATGCACAAGACATGCGGGTTGAAAACCTAAAACCTAAACCCCGCGAATCAAACCCGAAACCCGGAGCCGCAACGACCAAACCGATTCAGAACGGATGATACCAGCAATAGGGATTCTTCAGATTAAAGCCGTTGGGACATGGAAGATGATGATATGGTCAAGGGTGAATTACTCTACTACAAGGGATGCCTGCACCCTTGGGGCTGTAGGGTTGAGAGCTTAGGGTCTAACCACACAAGTCCCATGCTTTCCCAGTTAGGACACCTTTAAGCCTTAAGTATCTACGAAAAAATGTACATGGAGCCTTTGGGCTAGAAGCCACCCTTCCTTAAACAAAAAAACGAATGCCGAAGAGGCATTGGCGTGGTCCTCCGGGGCGGCCTGATACTGTTTGGGGCACCCTAAACCCTAAACTCTTAAGGCAACCCTAACTCCTAAACCCTTAAGGAAACCCTAAACCCTAACTGTTCCACACGAAGTTCTAGGTTAAGGGCCTCGAATATAGGGGCCTTAATAATTGATTAGAATCCGGTTTGGGTGTACATTATGTTAAAGGCTTCTAATGTATGTGCCTTAATAATTCATAGGATGCGGTTTGGGGGGTACATTATACTATACTTACAATAAGGGACCTCCAAAATCGTATTGGTAACTCTCTATATGCCCCTACATTATCTCAAAGTTCAGGTCTCAAGGCTCCAGGTTTCGGGCTGGATATTATGAGAAACTTAGTAGGGTTTACAAATTTTTAAGCTTCAAGACTTTACGTGTTGGTAAGTTACATAATGATCAGGCTTCCAAGTGCTGGAGTCCTACATACATGATTTCGACTTGCAGCGTATTTCCCATCCATTCGTTGGAACCCTCTGCCCAAAGCAGACTTTAAACCCTGAACCCCTAAACCCCTAAACCCTGAACCCTAAACCCCCTAAACCCTAACCCCCCTACACCCTTGAACCGACTTTCAAACAAAGCCTATGAAGGGGCCCAGCCCGGCAAATTCTGCCAACGGACAAACACCTTAGGTCCACAAGACCCCCCCCCCCCTAAACTCAAGACCATTCCCAAAGTACAGGGGGTTCTCGCAATCCTTAGAATGAGCTCTGGTGCATATTATACAAGGCACTATAGCTTTTGGACCACGATTATCAATTAACCACGAGTCATTCAAACCCCACGCTACCGAGAGGTAGACCCTATAAACCCTAACCCCAACTGCCATGGCCTCAGGATGACGATGCACGTCGACAAGTCGGGCAGCTTCAAGCGCTCGATGGTGCTCTTCGGGGCGGATCCTTTTGAATCGAAGTCTGGTTGCTGACTTTGGAAACTAGCTGAAGCCACCCCCTCCTACCCTGCAACCTCTCTCTCTCTCTCTCTCTCTCTTTTTCGCTCTCTCTCTCTCTCTCCCGATGTTTCTCCTTTTCCGATGTTTCTCATTTCTCCTTCCTGCTGAAACATCCAGCTAGCCAAATAGCCGGCTTGCTGGTCAGCAGCTGTGCGTGATCAACCTGATTCGCTTGTGCAGCTGTATTGGCTCCCCCGATTAAGCCCTAATTAAACTTTTGAATGCAGAAGCTTTGTCATTGATTCCGAAACCTCCTGAACCCCACACCATCAACCCCTAGACCTCTGACGACATACGAGTGCAGTCGAGGGTCAGCCCGTCGAACCAAAACATCAGCAGTCGATTCACCTCTTTGTCGAAGCCCTCCGACGAGCGGGTGATCTTCTCGTAGGACACCTGCAGAGCTGAGGGCTCTACGAACTGCTGTGTCTACCAGCAGGAGTTCCGATAAAAGGGTTGCTATAAAAAGGAGACTCAGAAGAGGTACTACGAGACTCCAAAGATACTCTCAAGCAAGGTTCAAGAGGTCCATATTGCACTCACCCAAACCCGAACATAACCCCGATCTTGCTAATGGCCCCAAACCGCAAATTACAATCCTAGACAGGGCTTTCGTTTGGGTATCAAGCTTGTAGGGTTCAGGGAAGCTCGGAACCCTCTTAGGGCGCTGCCCAAAACCCCTTCGCGCTTCTCAACTTAAGACCTTAAGCCCCATGCACAACCTAAAGCCCTCAACCTTAAACCCCTTACGCCTAAAACCCAACCCAAACCTCCAAAACCTCAAGCCGTCAACCCCAAAACCCTTAAGCCTAACCCCCCCCCGCCCACCAAAAACAAAAAAAAACAACTCCAAAACGTTCAAGCCGTCATAATTGCTCTTCTTCCCCCGAGGCACTCGATGGGTGTCGTTTCGCGGGAACTCGAAAGCTGCTGTCATGTTCCTTTGTTTAGTTTTAGGGTTTAGGGTTCAGGGGCCCGGGAACGGTCCGGATCTGGGATTTAGAGGCTTTTGGGGTTGGGTATATGGTCTCAAAAGGGCTTTAGGTGCTTAGGGTTCAGGGTTTTAGGGTTGTGGGGTTTTGGGTTCAGGGTTTTAGGGTTTTGGATTCAGGGTTTTAGTGTTTTGTGTTCAGGGTTTTGGGGTGTTAAGGTTTTGGGTTCAGGATTTAGGGTTTTGGGTTCAGGGTTGTAGGGTTTTTGGAGTTTTAGGATTTCGGGTTTAGGGTTTAGTGCCTAAATTAGAGTTCGCGGAACGGCCCGGATCCACGATTTAGGGGTTTTGGTGGTGGGTGCAGAGTATGGCGTTTGGGGCGAAGAGGTTTCAGGGTGTTTAGGTTTTGTGAGGCTTTACCATCCCACGGTGTTTGGTGGAATCTACCGGATTTAATGAATAATGCTTCTTTAACCAATGGGTTCAGGGTGGGGTTTCTCGAATTCGGGGCTGACCCAAGCCCCAGATAAACTGTACACAAACAAAGCAGCAAAAGACCGACTTAACTCTGTGAAATCCAAAGGGCTCGACAAGTTGTGTCATGCGCTCGGCCACGAAAGCGACGCCCTTCTTGGGGCCCAGTGCCGCGACGCTGCCCGGTGGCCAAAACATCAGGTTGCCCACAGCCTCGCGTTGGGGGGTTTAGGGGTTCCTTTACAGGGATCCATGAGGGTTCCTTAAAGGGATCTATAAGGCTTCTATATAGGATTTAGGGTTCAGGGGTTTAGGCCGGGGTTTGGGGGTTTAGGGTTTAGGGTTGATATAACGGCACGTAAGATTTAGGGTATGTGCATTTCATAGTGGTTGTAAAAACGTTTATTAGGTTTTCTTTTTATGGTGGTGACCTTTAGAACTCGAAATTTCGTGTTCGGAATTATGTATTGCTGTGCTTTGCCTCCAGGACATGAGAATACTCAGGTTTCACCTTTTTGGCCTCTACCCAATGATGCCTCCTAGACCCGAAACCCTAAACAGGAAACCCTACACCCCCAAGCCGCCATGCATTCTGGAGAACTCACGGTTCAATCGCCGGCCAAAGCGAGGATGCTCAGCAGCTACTGTAGCGGACTTGAGAACTACAATAGGGCTTTGGGCTTAAATTGCCTTATCAGTATATAGTATATAGGGGTATAAGGGAACCTCTACTATGTTAACTATTCAACCTACAGGAACGTGATACACTAGCGCTAAATACTGAAAAGGGGCAGTTTGGATGGATGGCAAAGTCGGCTTAACCGGCAGGTGCGAAACGCCTCGCCGGACCCAAACAAGCCCTGAACCCTTCAAAACCCAATACATACCATTACAGACCCTAAAAGCCCGTGAGTATTTTGTATCACCACACCCCAAAGCTCTCCGCTCACCTCCTCGCCCCGGTGGTGATAGCAGTAGGCGGAGACCACCATTTCCAGGGGGTCTCGGACGGTGCCGGCAATCCTCAGACGCATTTTGCTATGTGGGTATGTATGCGTGTATGTATGTATGTATGTATGTTTATACCGATGTATGTACGTACGTAGGTCTTTAGGTATGCAGGTGTGCAGGCATGCACGCATGTAGGTATGTATGCATGTATGCACATGCATAGATATGCATGCAAGCATGCGCATACACATGTATGTGTGCATGTCGGAGTGTATGCACATAGGTAGAGAGTGTCTATCGGCATCGGGTGAGTGCTGTTTGGCGTGTGTGTGTGTGTGTGTGTGTGTCTGTGTGTGGTGTGTGTTGCTTTTGTGATTTTTTTGTGGTTTCACAAGGTGTTTGAGCTATTTCTGAGGTTTTCGACTTAGGATGTCGACTTTTTCTGGGGTCGGCATTAGGGTTTAGGGGGTTTTGGGCTTAAGGTTTGGGATTTCAGGGTTTCTGGGTATAGGTTAGAAGCTGCCCCCACCCTGTAATAGTGGTATAATAGGAATATAATAGGGCCCTAATATAACCCTATATAATCCTTATGGTCACTATTACAGGGTGGGGGCAGCTTCTAAGGTATAGGCTTGAAGTCGAAGCCTTAAAGCCCGTGGTGTTTCAGCGGTGGGGGCCAGGCTGGACTCCTGGGCTGCTGGCTGTCTGGGGCGGCTTCAGATCAGGCTCGCGTTGTCGGAGTGAATAGCAGCAATAATGCTACTAATAATAATAAGAATAGCAATAATGCTAACAACAATAACCCTAAAATAATGCAAATAACAATGGTAATAATAAGCCTAACAATCCGAATAAAGGATATTTAAATTATAATCCCACTTGGAGGGTCATGAGGCTTTGTAAGTAAGCAAGGCGAGGTTATAAGTATCTTAGTTGGGCGGCGGCGTACCGAGGCATTATATTGTTAAAATGACTGTAACCCTACGAAATCCCATGATCTTCGGAGTACTTCAATAAGCCCTAGAGGTTCAGGGGGTTCTGCGACATAGGGGCCTCGATTGACTGACTAGGTTTCTGGGGCGGGTTCGTGCAGAATTATATACGGACTGTTTAAGGGTATGTATGTATGTATGTATGTAGGAATGAAGGAATGGATGTATGTATTTAAACATGTATATATATATATATACACATGTGTATATATATATATATATATATATATATATATATATACACATGAGCATATACATACACATACAAATATATATATATATATATATATATACATATACATATACATATACATATACATATACATACATACATATATATATATATATATACATATATACATACATACATACATATATATATATATGTGTGTGTGTACATGTACATAGACATATGCATATACCTATATATATATATATATATATATATATATATATATATATATATATGGGTGTGTGTGTTTATATAACTACAGCTTATTCAGAGTTCAGGCCCTCTGTATAAAGTCTACAATTAAGCTCTAAAGCTAACAGAAAGAACCTCTGCATGGGTAAAGGTGTGCCTATGTTACAAACGCAGGAGCAGTCAAATACTAGCACTACGTCTAGTCAGTCTAGTCCTGGTCATACTGTTGAGATGACCTAACGGAAGCTGGCTTTAGCAGCATGATGTCGATTGCTAGATTGCTGCCTGGCATCAGAAAAGGCCCTTTCGCCGCCTCCTCCTTATCTCGGAGCTCCGGGGAGAACATGTCAATCCAGCAGCGGACAGGTGCCGCGGGATGCCAGCACATATCAAGCCTCGGGCAGGATTTTGAAGCACACGACAATGCCACATAGGGTCACGAAGCTCTGAACCCTAAGCTCTCCAAAACCTGATACCGAACTCCTATATGCAGACTTTCAACCCGCCGGCTACGGCTACCGACGACACCAACAAGATTCGCAGCGAAGATGATAGTGACGATGCTGGTTGGCGGTGGCCGCGGCGGCATTGGCGGTAGCGGCGGCACTGCTGGTGCGATGCTCATGCTGAGGAGGTTCAGAAATAATCATCAGAAAATATCAATTCGTAGTGCTATGTCCTTTCGCCGGTTCTGCTCTTGTCGCAGCAGCACTCTTCGAGTCGCATAGTATCGCTTGTCCCCTATATTTCACCGTCCGAAATCTGCACAGTTCTCGGTCCGAGGCTCGTGTAGCACGGGGGTGTGCGCCACATTCCGGTGTCCTCCAAAGTTGTTCCCAGTGCATTGAAGATCTTCTCCCACCTGGGCTGGAAAGGCCCGGGCCCCAAACACTATGCAGGGTCTCCCTACTCTGTGCACGGTGCCAAATGGCCGTCGACCGGAGTGACTAGCGCCGAGCATCCTTTGAATAGAAAGAAAGCCCGAGACGTATCGGATCGTGGCCCGGCATGTCATGTAAGCACTGCTCCACAACCTCCTCGCAAAGCATCTGCCGATTTGCATGTTCATGGGCCCTCTTGCATCGCCGGGTAAGCTGATGAAGCTGAGGACAAGCCAAGGTTGCAGGACTACTGATGGCTGCGCACTCAACTCGCTTCATGGCCTCAAGCATCCTGAACACTCAAAAGGCAACCACACGAGTGACCCGAGAAAGTAACTACTGTAAGACCGAAAGATAAACCATTAGACGCACGGGTATTTGGTGTACGAAAGCGAACTCCTAAACACGTTTCGCCTATAGTCTTGCAGCATCTCTTTAAGCCCTGCTGCAGTGTGACCATCAGGTACACCCCCGACCTTGGCTGCTAGGATCGGAGGGTTTGGAGTATTACAAAGAAAGACGGTGAAGGGTGTGGGGTTTGGGGATGTTTAAACCACAGCTTTGGCTGTAACAGGGGCTTCACGGCCCCAAGTAAGCAAAAGCCCTAAACCCTAATTCAACCCTACTGGACACATAGGGTTTCTGGGCTTACAGGAGTGCTTGGTCAAAACCTTCTCCCAGACTTCACAGCCCCGTCAAAAAGCCCAGAAGACACACGTACTGTTTGCCCCCCGGTTTCAATCGTAGAACTGGGAGGTTAGTGTTCCCAAATTTTGCTGCGAGAGACTGCTACCGCACAGCGGACTCTGTTGTCAAACATCCCCCATTAAGAGTGATTTTGCAGGCTGAGCCTGCCTGAGGCGCTTGAGGCTGCAGCATATCCGCTGCTGTGACCGGGGCTGTTGCTTCGTGCCAACCAGCCCCGATAAACGCGAAGCCACTCAAACTCCAGTCCCTGAAACTTATACTTTTCCCGAGAAACCTAACTATAAGCTCGTTAACCCAAAAGTCCGATCGCCAACAATGTACGGACCTTACAATTTACAATAGCATGTTCGGGTGTATTGAAGTATAGCGCATTCGGGCACCCTGAGGAATAGAATTACAAATTATTCGGACCTCTACTTTCACCCTCAGAACCGAAGAGCTTATAACCCCAAACCCTTTTTTGCATCAGGACTTGTGCAATCGCCTGAATACACGGACGGAAGGTCAGCACCCCAAACCCTAAACCCTAAGAACCGAGGAGCTTATGGTAGGTCACCGCCAGGTAGTGGAATCTTTCCTTGGCTGACTTCTGAACCCCTCCAAAAAGTTAAACTTTTAGCCTCCTTACTATAGTTCATATAGAAATCCAAAAAGTTAAAGTCCTAAGAGCCAACCAGAAGAACGCCAAGTTTCCCAGGGTTTCGATGGCGGAGCTGTGCCCTTTCGCACATGCGAGGCGGCCCTCTGCACCATAGATACGGCCTCCAGTAACATCAGGAGAAAAGTCTTTGGGTGTGGGACAGGCTAAGGGACTTAGGCGTTTGGGGCTTAGGGTTCAGAGTTTCGGGTTAAGGGTCTCGGAGTTAGCTAACCAGTGGTTTTGGGGGTTCCCTTGGCTCTTTAGCTCCTTATTTACTAGGGATTATCATCATCCCTGGCTCCTTAGCTCCCATAATATCAATTGTTAGTCAGGCAAAAAGGTAAACCCGTTTTGCATTCAGCCTGCAAAGCCTCTGCTGGGAAGTAAAGGAGCGCCCAAAAGGTAAACCCTAAACCATTAAACCTTACACCCGAAAGGACATGGGATAAGGATGACTATAGTATATACTGGGATAGGATGATTGGATTCTAACTGGAAGGTCTGGTGATTATGGTGTAGGCTGTGTAGTATAGGGCTCATGATTTAGGGCCTTTCATGCCGGATCCGAGCAGCTACGCTTATTCCTGGATTTGGGAACTTACAGACTTCAGGAAAGTAAAGTCCATAATGTAGCGACTCTTGGAAGCGAGCCCAGATCCTTCGACCTAAGACACTCGCACTGAGGGCTGTTATCGGCAGCGTCACTCTTCGATGGAAACTGGACAGGTCCCTTTTTGGGTACCCTAAATATTAGGTGCCGTACTATACTAGGGACCCAAAAAGGGACGACAATTTTGACAACCACCCATTTCTCTTCTTGTTTCGAGTCCTGCTCTCCTCGTCGTCCCTCTGCCTTAGTGTAGCCCAAATGATACCTCGCAACTAAATCGTTCTGTACACCCTAAACCCGTTTCAATGCATATAGCTCATGGAACGAGTTGACCGGAAAGCTTTTGAAGGCCTATAGTCAAAATCATGGATCCACACATAGTAATGTATAGGCCTTAGCAGCTAGACTTGGGTTCGTTGAAGCGTGGTATACTACCGAGCATCAAAAGCTCTTTACGTCAGGTCTGGGGTCCTCAATAAACGGGATAGAGGCTTTGTCGGCATGTTATCATATTATGGCAGTTGTTTACGTAGAATAAGGGACCCTGCAGAAGAATACTACTATAGAACATGAGGTAGCGCGCGACTAGCCTAGGCCGAGGTATAGAATTATACCAACTATGGAGATGCAGACGTTGACAGAGAGCATGCATCAACACAGACACAGACACCACACACATGCGCGCATCTTTAGATTCATAACCCTAACCTCATCCGTAATGGGACTCTTCCTTGTGCGGCTTTGCACGAAACGGAGGTGGCACCTGTGTGTATGCGGAGGCATCCCAGACACAGCCCACATTCACAAGCGGCCGATAACAGTGGCACCGTAGGAAGAGCTCGAAACAACAAACTATGAACACTAAAGCCGAAACCCTACAAAACCCGATATCCCCCAAAGCCCTCTCTTTCTTTCGCCAGAGCCCTCTCTCTCTCTCTCTCTCTCTCTCTCTCTCTCTCTCTCCCTGTGTCCCTCTCTCCCAAGTCCCCGAAACCCGAAACGCAAAACGAGCTATCACAACGGGAGCAAGATGCAGTGTCATCGCGCCCAGCGCGGCAACCCTGAGTTTCAAAAGCGTCACCAAGGGTTTGGGTTTTTGGCGTTTGGGGTTTAGGGCTGTTGGGGTTTAGGAGCTAGTTGAGGGGTAGATTCGGGTAGATGATATGATATGGTCTGATAACGGTTTGGCACTTCGGGATTCAAGGGTCCGGGCTAAGAACTACTTGGTGCCAAGGTGGGCAGTATAAGCGAGAGTGCCGAAGTCGCGCGGAGCAAACACCTTTTTTCAGAGACTCCCCAACCCCTCACTTGATATGGTTTACGCTGTATTCCTCATTTAGGGGGCTTTGGGATTCTGAGCTCATCCCTAGGTGACGCAATGTTTCACCAAGACAGCGAGCGACCAAGACCGAGACAGATTCTCGACTAATATCGTTCTCCGGGCGGATTCCCTGTAAACTTCCGATTCTAATTCTAGCTTACTATTATCCTGTGTACAAATCTGCTCGAAAAAACACTGCACCGCTTTAAAGTCTGACAGTACTTAAATCATAGTCCATCTCCCTTGCAACGTGAAATAGGCGACCCTAGTTATGCATGCACATAAAACCTTCCAATCATACTGGGATTCCTCCACTGCGAGGACCCTAAAGCTCACTGGCCCACAACCCAAGGAAATAAAAGTTGCAACTTTCAGAATCGACTACCTTATAAGAACATCAAAAGTTGAAAAGTTGAGTTTACAGCCAATAAGAAAGGGACCTACCAAAGTGGGCGAGAGGCCGCCAGCCAAGCGAAGGCTAACAGCTGGAGGAGGCGAACCATGCCCCCGCGCTCAATGGAGACTCCAATATCCCTTCAAAAAAAGGGAATATTCCTTAAAGCATATTTTTTGGATCCTACTCTGATTTTAGGTATGTTGCTTCATTAAGGCATATTGGAGTCTCTGGGTCAGTGGAAAGAAGAGTTTTGGGGTTCGAGGGCTTCTGAGACAAAGGCTAAGCGGCTTAGGATGGTTTAGGGGCTTAGGGGTCAAGGGTAGGGTTCTAGCTAGGGAGGAGGCTTCAGGGCCGAAGCGTCGGGCTGCCCACTGATTGGCTTAGCTCGGTACCTCACAATGTAAGGAGGCTCTGTGCTCCTGGCACGAAGCTCAGCTGATCTCTCCGTTCTCTCGGGTGCTCTGCAACCACCAACGTCCATCCCAAGTTCAATACGAAACCGAGGCTCAGCGGGGTTTCTCTGGAGCCTAAATGCAAGATGCAGTTTCCCACGGCGGTATCTCCGGCGCGAATTGAGCACTTTGTCAGTACAGGGATTCGGGATTTTGGGGCTTATGCTTAGGCTTTCTGCATTACTTCGACTCTCGCACCCGAAGGCCCAAAATAGGCCAAAGGCCTTACATAGTATGGTCTCTGGGCCCCAACGCCTTAAACATGAGTCCTTAGAGCCTTAGGGCAAACTAAGGGTTGACAGCTTGTGTTGTTGCGTGCCCAATCCTTTTTGAGAGGCAGCTGCCAGCAGGTCCGGATCCCGAGGGGTCCATGTGCCCTTGAAGGAAAGGCTTAACCTTTCAGGATTTTTCCCTCTCGCATGCTCTACGGCGTTTAGGAAGGCTTGACCAGATGTTGTGTGGAATTCTAGGGTCGTAAAATGTGCCTACGAAGCAGAATATAATACACTTTGACTCGAAGACTACAAGCTATCCGTCCTTCTATCTATCTATCTCTATCTCAATCTCTCTATCTGTAGCTCTAACTCTAACTCTAGCCCTAGCTCTCTGTATATGTCATATATATATATATATCTATATATATACATATGCATATCTCTCTCTTAGACAAAAAGATTATATATATATATATATGTATACATACCATTATATACACAGATACATACTGGTATACAGGGAGAATGCAACAGAACGCACTGCATAGGTACCTGGACCCTCTCGGCATCGAGGATCTCGTCATGCAGG